GTTTTACAATACTCGGCGGATTGGGGGGAACCTGGTTCTTGTGTTTTGTCAAAATTATATCAAATTTTATGGTAAAGCATTTATTTCTTTCTAAATAATATAACTAGTTTCTCAGACACGAAGTACTTGAACACATGAACAGTGTTGTATACTTCAGTATAACTGTATGTTTATTCCCAGTCAACGAATATTCCAATTTATAGGTACATGTAATAACAATCAAATATTTCCATTATACTTACAACAGAATTTTTTTGAACAATATTTTTCCACTGTTGTTTGTGAAAACAGTACAGTCAAAGATAAAGTACTTTCATCAAACTGGCATGCAATGTTTAATTAATTAAACCAGTTTGGATATTTCGATTTAGTATTCTTTCAGGGACATGTAAGCCTAGTATCACACAAATGCCATCCATTGTTGAAATGTCTCATCTTCAATTTCTTGTTACGCAAATGCACTTGCGTACAGATTACCATCTAGAACTCATTATCTTTATTATTTCAAAGTGGGATACTATAGCTTTCACCGTATGCTTTATCACTATCTGTAGGATTTAGGGGGGTGATAGTTAATTTCTACACTTTTTTGTAATGGTTATGATATACAACAAAACACCGCCGCTACCCTTCCCAAAGCTTACAAAGCCTATCAGCTTTTATCTTCGCCACATGCTTCAGACACTGGAGCTTACCAAACTCTGCCTACCCCTACTACATAAACCACTGTTTAAGAACTTTGCAAATCCCCAGGTCTGAGGAAACAAATCTCATTAGCACTGACATAAAAGCACACAGCCAATATACCCTTTACATACCTTTTCAAAAGGTATATGCTTTGTGCATGTGTAACGGGGAGATAACATACCTCAAATAATTAAAAAAAGAAGAGGCTCGAAAAAATATAACACTTAGGGAACTCGCTTAAAAAACTTACTTTCAAAAGGATCAAAAGGGAGGACTCGCAAGAAATCTAAAGAATAGGGATGCGGAAGCTGAAACTTGGTTCTAACAACAACAAACTCTTTTATTTCTTCAAAAAAACCTTAACCAAAGTAAACAAGGACCAGTCCAACCCAAAAAAAAACAACAAAAAAACAAACTTAAGAAAAGTTAGAGATCAATTCAACTCAAGCAATTACCACCTGTAAGTAAGTTGCTCAATCTGCATCATAGCTTCAGAACAAACATGTGCAGTAAGGCCGAGACTCCTGAGACCCGTGAATACCAAAGAGGTAATAAACAAAAGGTCTGGGCCACTTCCAAGGAGGCAGACCACACTAATCCCTAATGCAATTACCTAAGCCTCCTGCTGAAACATGTGCACAAACATATATGAGTCCGTGAACAAAGAAAAATGACTTGCACAGGATGCATGTACTAGCAACATGGTTAAAAAATACATGTACGTACTATACACATGTACGAGCACCAAAAAATAATAATAGAATATATGCACTCGTGAGCAAGAATACCTAATGAAGAAAAGTAAGGCAAAAATATCAGTCTTCTGTCATGTAGAAGTCAGCAGAAATATACTTCAATTCTTAAGAATCTTCTGCACTTTCAACCATGGTCTTGAGTGAAGTCTTCGTGGCAATTAATCTTCATCCTCAAAACCAACTTTAACTTACAACCTTCGTAAGCACGGACTTAAAAATCAAATCCAAAAGGCAGAGAACCAAAATTGCAGATACAATCTATTCGTTACTAAAAAAAGGAACGACGTATACTCCATCGTCGATCATCCTTTGTAAAGAAACTCTAGAAAAAATGCACTTGTGCGAATACAAATACTATTTTTATATTTAAACGGGCTTAACAACAAGAACAAAAAAAATAATCCAACTAACCCAAAAGGCTTTTGGCAATGATCAAAACACCTTGTAAAAGTTACAGTCATCTGGCTGGAATTTGGTTCGAATCTTCCAAATATTACAAAAGGAACACTTGGCTATTAATGCAAGTAAGATCAAACAATATCTCAAAACAATGAAGTGTCACCTATCATCAAAAGCAGTCAGCTGACATAAAATACAAAAGTCTTTTTTCCATAACAATTTCGAATAACACAGAGATAAAATAAACTCACCAAGTCCACCTGCAGGTCTGAGCTTTCAGGGCAGGACTGGCATTAAATAGGTGTTACTTATTGACTGCCGACTGCTTACTGAGGCTCAAAGAATGCCCGTAGTGCTTGGTCCTGTTGCATGAGTCATCAAGTAAACAATTATGTGGGGGCACAATGCAACTTTAGGATGGATAGACTAGGGGTTGCTACTGTGGCGGGACAACTGACACCTTTTTGTGGCGGACCAGCAGACTGGCCGGATCGGAGATAGAATTGACCTGGCCTACCCCACATATATATTTATTAACCTTACGCAAGAATGAGCGGCTATCCTGACGCAAGGGGGGGTATCAGTTAACAAACGGTGGACTATGCCTTAGGGGCTGTTCGTTTGGTGGAAGTTTACCACCGCTCTGTGATTAGGTAATTGATCCCAATGTCAATTAAGATTACAATTAATGTCAATACAAGTGATACAGGACTGACTAAATCTCACGGTGACCAGTGACTTCTAAGGCAATTATATGATTGGTTTATTCAATGTCAGTGCTCAGTTATCCTTTACATACAACAGCGATTAATTATATACAAAATTATCCTCACAGGGATAATTATCCTACGTGGTCAACTGCACCACGAACGTGATTAATAAGCCTTATCCTTAACCTACACCAGAATGTCCCTCACGGCGATCAGGGTAAACCTCACAGTGATC